TCATCTTGACGAGGCACACCTTTTAGTATTTTTCTTTTAATTTTCCGGACACTTTTGAAATCGGAGTTACTATTAATTAACCATTTTTCTCAGGCGTTTTTATTGGCGTGATCCTCTTGTGATAACGGAATTCAAACACACGAACCACTTTGATAAAAAAATGAAACACATGATTCTATCTGAAAAAGGGGTCCAACCACAAGTATCTTTTCCGTACTTTTCCCTATACTTTTTAATAAGTAAAATAAGATAAATATAACAATAAAAAGCAGTATAATTTGGGTTCATACATAAAACAACTTTTCATTTTGGAATCCCAAGCACCTATCATGATATGCTTAATGGTACAAGTCTGCACCTAATGATGATGCCATGCTTCACTTGAATTACTTTTTTGGTGAGATTTTAGGAAGGAACTTTTGATGAAACCAAGGCTACCAATGATAGTAAGAATCCCTGAAGCCTTGACGGAGCCCATTCTAGAAGCAAAGGCCACTGCCCCACCACTTTCCTATTTAGAGGGCCTTCCACCAAACTCAAATCGTCATAGTCAGGCTAGGCTTGTTACTGTTTCTAATTGTCAGCATTATTTAGCTTTTGAAACCAAGGCAGGAGTCAGCAACTTAATTACACATAAACTGGTTACCTTATGCGTTCTGAATAGGCTTGCATGTTATTCCTTCCCTATATATACTCAATTTATAGTACTGTAAAATTATAATCATGTAGGACAACATTCGTGTTTAAGTTCTACGTTCAGGCTTCCAAACTGGGTGATTCACTTATGTGTGTAGAAGCTCTTCAATCTTGTACATACGGCCATAAGAACTTTTCTCTTTTTGAATTCAAGGGTAATAGGGTGTTTCAGTTACAGATGTTAATCAGAGCTACAATGACGCAAATCATTTGAAAGAAGATGTTACTTGCAATATTTAAACACTACAATGACGTATATCAGAGCTTTTAAAATAGGCTAAGGGTCAGATGGGCCCCTCCCCTCTACCTGTTGCGTTTGATCTATTCAGACCCTGAACAAAAAAAAGTCCAATTTGCACCCTTATCTAGCAAAAAAGATTCAATTTTTTTTTAACGGGTGAACATTTGGTGACCCGCCATGTCACCAGCTAAGGTGCCAATTGTGCATCAGGCATGGAAGTTAAAAGTTCAAATAAATCCTTGAACTAGTTTGAATTGTTCAAATCACCCCCTCAACTTTAAAAAAGTTTCAACATTGATAAGTTAAACTAAAAATTAGAATAAAAATAATACATAGTAATAAATATAGGAGTAAAGGGTCAGTTTGGTACTCGAAGTTGCAAAAAAGGTGTCAAATAAGTCCTTATATAGAAGATTCTGTCCAGACGTGCCATTTGAGGTGGCTCCCGGTAGAATTTTTTGATGAAATTTTTTTAGCATCTTATTTCTTAAGTCTAGTTTACTCATACCAAATTTCAGCTAAAAATTCAATCGGGGAGACATTCAAATGAATTCTTGAAGATAACTGCGCTTTTAACGACACAATTATCTTCAAGAATGCATTTGAATGTCTTCCCGATTGAATTTTTATCTGAAATTTGATGAGTAAACTAGACTTAATGAATAAGATGCTCAAAAAATTTCATCAAAAAATTCCACTGGGAGCCACCTCAAATGGCACGTCCGGACAGAATTTTCTATATAAGGACTTATTTGACCCCTTTTTTGCAACTTCGAGGACCAAACTGACCCTTATCCCATAAATATAGTATAAATATATACAGTAGAAAACATAAATATAACTATTGATTTTTTGGTTAATTCAAAATACCTATTGGATCCTTTAGCCTTTAAAATACTAAATTGTAAGAAGTGAAATGGTGTTTGAAGAAAACCTCTAAAATATTACAGTGGTAGGATATTTACTAGGAACTGGCTGTATAAGTGATAGATACCAAGATCGAAAGAGGAAAATTGATGTGTATTGAGAACATAAATGAAGAACAGAAGTGAAACGGTACACGGTTAGGCACTTAGAGCAGCCTATCTCTCCCAAAATCCCAGCCCAAGTCTCAAGTTCTCCTCCTCTATTCCACTCCCCAACTCCTATTTATTCTTTTCCATTTGGACTAGCCCAGTGCTATTTAATTCCGGGCCTAAACCCCTTTTATTCTACAATATTAAAAGACCAATATTATTCTTATTACTAGTACAATCTAGGTCTATCATTACTCCCCTTTTGACAACCACCTTGCCCTCAAGATGGGAAGTGAGAAACAGCCATGCCATTCAACTTCATCCTCGCGCCTCTTCCTCCCCAATACCTTGCTGCTTGCAGAACCAGAAGCTTTCGTACTTGTTCTTTCAAAATCACAAATGGTGATGCTGCAGTAGATATGTCAAGTGCAGTTTCATTTGTTGCATTAGCCTTCAAGCACTCACTAGCTACAAGTGTTTCCTTGTTTTCATGAGACTCCTCAAGGATTCTCACTTCTGAGACTATCAATGTGCTGGATGCAGATTTGATGTTACTCAAGTTACTCAATTCATTGTCTGTAACAAGCCCTACACACACTTCTCCATTTATCATCCACTTTTCTGTATGACAGTTAGTATCAATGATAGAATTATTTGTAATAGCAGGATTTGTCTTACAAAACTTCAACAGCCAACAGAAGTTGTGCACAACAGTGCTGCCATGCGATTTCAGATTCTCTAACCGCCAAAGTCCCAGTCTGGGAAGTTTTTTTTCTTCCCTTTCCCCTATAAGAGAGCCAATAGCTCTTGCAGCAACAGAACGGGCTTCGGGCAGAATAAGCATGAACATATTGGTTTCTCGATTCTTAAAAGAGATAACCGCACCAAACTCCTTTATTTTATGAACATTTACATCAACATTGCTAACAAAAGCAAACTCATCAGTCCATCTCAGTCTAGAATCAGAGGAGTCCCGAATTGCAGAAAGTACCAAATTGCAGCCTTCCACATCCATACCAAAAGCTGGTCAACTTTAAAATCGGGCTTCAAGATAGACTTCATTAACCCAGCCTCATCAATAAGATCAATGGCTGTGTCTGGAAGATATCTATCAAGATTGTATCTAGCTGAAAGTTGCACAGCAGCTGTTATGGCCTCATAAGTATATTTACACTTATGATACTCATCTTTCTCACGCAGCCGTGACAGTATCTGGACAGTATCCTCCTGGCTCGGTTCATGAACCCTTATAGGCTGAAACCCAGTGATGGCTTTAACAGATTAGCAAAGCCAAGACCAGAACCCTTGCTTCCTCTCCCATCTGGGCCAGAATCAATTAGAGTATGGACCTCATCAATACGAAGAATGATATTTCCATACGTCTTAACCTCCCTAAGTAATGTAGTCACACGAGCCCCTAGTTCACCAGAGAAGTACAAGAATTTCTTCATAACAGTAAGATGCCCATCTAACTTCCTCTTTGGTGCAACATGACAACTTGAGTTTAATTTAGAGTCTGGAACTAATCCCAACTCAGACTGGGGAGGAAAACCTTGCACGCCATTGTAGTACCGAACAACGCAACCGTGCTTTTCAATCTTCGTTATCCATCCCTGTTCGATTAGTCCCTCAGTAGCATCACACACACTGATGATTCCCTGAAGCTTCTTTCCATCATTCCCCTTTGCTATTTTCTCATTTTTCTCTAGACGGGTAGTCCCGGCACCAAAATATAGCGATATTGTTATTGCAACATCATCTACTGGGTGATGCATTGTGGTTGCATCATGTTTAATCTCTGATTGTATTCCATTTTCTAGGGCACTGATGAGTGTTGCATCACTTGCTTTGCTATTAATTCCATTTGTAGAAACCATATATGAAGTAGCTTGATATTCATCTGCTTGTCAAGTGACCATAAGGATTTCCTTCTGAACAGGTTTTGTAAAGCAAGGTGCACGTACATCAGAACCTTGAGTTCTTTCCATGTGAAGCTCAGTAGTAACCGGAGTACCGGACCTCCCAGACTAGTATGTGTAGTTGAATATGCCATACCTATAGAGGTTTCAGAAACCACTTGGTTCTCCAGTTCAGAACCAGCAAATTTATCATCATCCGATTCATTTTCCATGGTAATCGAGGTTTGAGTCACCGCAGAAAATTGCTCCTCGCGTCCATTGTCACCATCACTGATCGTGTCTTCAGAGGAAGGTTGCAGCAGGTTAACAGACTCCTGCGGCGAACCTGGAGAGTCTGAGTGCGAAACGATTTGTGAAGGGGAAGAATAGGAAAGAGCACTGAGCGATGCGGGTTGAGATGCCCTCTGTGAACTGTTAGAAGCCTCTCGGGATGACGATTGGTGAGAAACAAGTAGAAACGGGGGACTGGAACTCTGAGACGCTGCTAGAGACTCAGATGAACCCTGCGAACTCAGAACAACTGATAGCGATGAAGTTGTCAATTGCGATCTGGGAGCTTCTTCGTGCGACACAGTTTGCGCACTTAGCGACGAAGATGGAACCTGGTTTCCAGAATTCCGACGGTGTCTAGGAGGGCTCTTCGCTCGGTCTCTATGTCTCCGGCAACGCTGTTTACGCAAATGATTTATCATCTCGTCCAAAATCGTTTCCATCTTCATAACATTTCGGGTGCTATTCTCCATATGCGCACGCGTAACAGTCCTCCAGCAATCGTTGCTCTGATACCAATGATAGATACCAAGATCGAAAGAGGAAAATTGATGTCTATTGACAACGTAAATGAAGAACGAAGTGAAACGATACACGGTTAGGCACTTAGAGCAGCCTATCTCTCCCAAAATCCCAGCCTAAGTCTCAAGTTCTCCTCCCCCAACTCCTATTTATTCTTTTCCATTTGGGATAGCCCAATGCTAGTTAATTCCGGGCCTAAAACTCTTTTATTCTACAATATTAAAAGCCCAATATTATTCTTATTACTAGTACAATCTAGGTCTCTATCAATAAGACAGTCAGAATGCCAATGCAATCAATTTTAAGTATCCTTTAGCCAGGAAACTGCACAGTATAAGACAACAAAAGTGCCAATGCAATCAGTTTGAAGTATCTTTTAGGCAGGAAACTGCCCTGCATATCAGCCAGATATGGCTCTTATAAGTTACAATTTACAATGTAACAGTACAAGAAAATGGAGAACTGATGGTAATGTTACTGAGTCTACTTTTCACAATTATCGTAAAGAACTTGTTGGTAAGACATTTGGGAAATTCTTTATCCAGGAAACCAAGACCAGATTCATGCTCTCAAGCTCCTCATTCCAACCTCACAGCATGAGCACAATTACAACTTAAATGGGAGACCATTGGAGAGGCGTACCTCAAACTGGTCCAAAGTGCTGCATACTCCTAGTCTCCAAAGAGCCTAAGATGCTAGATTCACTTACACTTCATTCTCACCTTCAATATGCGGAAAAGATATCAATTTCAGCGGAAGTAGTTATATTCTTAAAAATGTAATAAGGTGGCAATTCATTCTATACCAGTTGAGTTGGGAAAACATCTCTCCCTAGCAGAAACAGAAAGTCAAGTAATCACATCACCTCCAACATTGCATTTTTGACAGTTCACTTGTAGTTAAACATCTTGGTCAGCTGGATTTTAGAATGGAGTTCCCTGGCTTCATGCATAAAGCCAGAATGCTGGAAACCATCAATAACTGCTCGAACATCTGATTTCAGAATCTTCATACCCCTTCTGATACCAGAAAGCAATATGTCAGATGCTGCATGAAACCTCCTAGCCTTGCAAAGACCATTCACCAGTGTCGAATAGGTAAAAGAATCTTTCTCTTGCATTAATCTAAACAGCCTCAACGCATGATTGACCTCACCAACTTTACATAACCCGTCAATACAGCAATTGAAAGCAACAATGCTTGAATCAAAACCCATCAGCTTTATGCAGTTCAAATGTCGAATTGCCTCTGTCATATTTCCAGCCTTGCATAGCCCATTTATTAAAATGGTGTGTGTGTATATGTCACAATCAAACCCTCTTCTTTCTGCATCTTCCGCCAACACATAGGCATCATCCAGTTTCCCTTCCTTACAGTAGAAATAAATAAGGGTGTTGTAAGCCACAGAATCAAACTCAATGTCATTCATGATCATATTTCTGACACAATCATATGCATCCTCCATCCTGCCAGCCTTAATCAAAAAGCTAATGACTGTACAGTATGCAAATGAATCAAATATAAATCCTTTCCTTCTCATCTCTTCCAATATCTGAAGCCCTTCTTCAAACTGTCTTGACCTAAAACAGCATTTCATTACTGTAGTATAAGTAATGGCATTTGGGTTATAACCTCTATGCACTAGTTCACTGAGAAGCTTTATTGCATGTACCCATCGTCCTAAATTGCAAAGCCCGTGAATAAGAATGTTGTATGTTACCAACTGTGGAATAAACCCACAATCCTTCAAGTTCCTAAATAACATAAGAGCCTTCTTTGTATGCCCACTACAGCAGAGACCAGTAAATAAAATATTAAAAGTGACTGGGCAAGGGGGTATATCTCCCAAGAAAATGTCCTGGAAGAACTTGAAGGCTTCATCTGCTTTTCCCAATCTAAACAAACAATGCATTAATGTATTATAAGTCCAGGTATCAGGAAGAATACTCAACTGGAGCATTTCTTGCAACAGATCAAGGCATCTACACAACAAGCCATGTCTGGTTGCACCTGCTATCAAAGAGTTATACGTAATAACATCTGGCTTAATCCCAGCTTCTTTCATCCTATGAATAAAAGAATAACTTGCATCAATGCTTACAAAATGACAGTATGCTGTGATGAGCGTATTGTAAGTCACTACATCTGCTGTCACTCCTATTTTTACACCATCAAGTATCAATGTTTCTGCTTCTTCTAGTTGTTTGGCTTTACAAAGAGATGCTACAGTTATATTCAATAGCTTTGTCGATAACCTACCTTTAATTCTAAACATCTATTTCAAATGTCCAACCTGTAAACCTTTCACTTAAAGTACAACAAAATCAATTAACCAAAATCAATCGAAAGATGAAATTCGTTCCTTCATCCAAAGCCTAAACTAAGAAATGGATAGGGGGGCGAGGATGCCTGACAATGTCACCGAGCAGTCGTCGGCGCGGGTAGTTAATTGCCTGCAGGAGGTCGCGAGCAGTTGCTAACTGGTATGGAGAAGGAGGAGCGTGTAGGTGACTGAGAGCAACTAAGACGACTAACCGTCATCGCTGGCGGTGGGGTTTGGCTGGGTGTAGCCTGTAATGGCTAGCCAGCGGCAAGACGTCGCCTACTCGTCGCCGGTGCTGTTGATGGTCGACGGTGCTGGCGACGAGGCTACAGCTGGTTTCCAGTGATCAGAACTGTAGGGGAGTGAAATTGATGACGATTGGGGAATTTGTATTTGACCCATGGAAAGCTAGCAATGCTGTCACAAAAATTTTATGAAGGACTCCACTTTGGCATTATCATAATTCATAACCATTTAATTATATAGTGAATGTAGAGTGGAGGATCCTACTTCACGAATGAATAATTGTGATGGTGCTACATATGCTATATGACTCCATAGTGGAGTCATATAAGACTCCATAAAATTTTCCAATGCTATCAGCTGTGAGAACCGGATCAGAAAGCAGGGACCCGGGCGAATGACTGAGTCACAAGTGATTTGAGACCCCGCAGGTCAACTCGGTCAAAGCTGGAAAACCAGTTCAAAATATAAAATGTTGTCTTCTTCTCTTTTATATTGGAACAAAAGAGGGTGACACAATTATTAAGAAAAGTGAGTTTGTGTGGGTGATATTAATTGATAAAGTAAAAATAAATTAAGAATGATTTAAATGAACACAAACTTTACCATATATGGTATGAGACAATTTTAGTTTCCCGAAAAGCTAAAACAGGACAATATAATAGGGACGGAGGGAGTGCCATTTTATTCTGATATGTACATATTTTAATAAAATATAAAATGTATTTTATATTAAATGGACAATATATATGAATATGATGCTTATTGAAAAATAAAATATTACTACCTTCGTCCCCCTAATATTGGGATGGAAGAAAGTGACGTGATTTTTAAGAAAAGTAAAATTATGTGGTTGATAATGATTTGATAAAGTGTGAATAAAGTAAGAATGAATTAGAGTCACACAAATGTTATCAAATATAATATGAGACAATAATAGGGGAACATCCAGAAATGAAAAATGGGACAATAGGGGGGCAAAGGGAGTATATGAATACTTTCACTTATAATAATACCCTTAGTAATGATAAATTAATACGGAGTAAATCTTATGATTCTGGCGGCTATCAGAGATCGGCGGTTTTGAACGTCTTCTGAAGGTAGACCTAGATCGATGAAGGAGACGGTACCATCAAGGAATCTTGGTGCTCAATTCTTTCATTGCCAGGTTTTGAGATCTTCATTTTCTTTTGTTTTGATCGATTGGTTTCTTCTCCGGGCATTTTAGTCTCGTGTCTCTGTTTCCGGCTCAATTTGGCCGAGGTTGGTTGTAGTTTTTCTGCTCTGAACGGATGGAGTTTCTTCTCCTTCTTGTTGATTGCAGTGATTTCAGTTGATTCTCTTTTACAAAGTTTCGGTGTTCTTCGTTTGCTTTGTCTTTGTGGTCTTTGGATTATGATGTGATGGAACTGATTTCAAAGAATGTTAGCATGATTTTAATTGGTGAAGAGGAAAATAGGGGTTTGGTGTTAGCAGCTGATCCGACAGAGAACGCAGATGTGCCTACAAAGGGATTCAATCTAGCGGCTGTAGCTAGAGTGGTTTCAGACAAACCCGTTCGTGTTGTTTTCTTTTGCCAAACTATGGCTATGGTCTGGCGACCAGTCAAGGGAGTTTCAATTGATGAAATTGGGGATTCTAAATTCCTATTACAGTTCTATCATGAAGGAGACCTGAACAGAGTTGTTGATGAAGGGCCTTGGTCATTTGAGCAGAATCTTGTAGTTATCAAACGATTAGGGCGTACTGACAAACCTCTAGAGGTTCCATTGAATCATGCAAACTTTTGGATTCAGGTCCGCAACCTACCATTAAGCTACATGACAGCAATAGGTGCTCGTTGAATAACAAAGAGTATTGGATGAGAGCTCTCTTAGTGGAAAGCAACGATTGGTCCTGTGCATTAGAGTCACTATTAATATTACTATGACTTGACTAGACGCCCGCAGGACAGACACGAGAGAGATATCTGGATCTGGGCAAACTTTTGACATGAGAGACTCCCGAATTTCTACTTTCTGCGCAGGATTCTTGGTCATGCTGATGGGTTTCTGTCCCTCTAATCCACATAACGATGTCAGGTTCAGGGAGAAGCCTTATGGGCCATGGTTAAGGGCTGATACGAGGCTGGGAGGATCTCATCCGGGCAATGTGTGGCTTATTCCTAGCAACAACAAGCTAGGAGACAGAAGGGACGAGAAAAGCAGATTCCGATAAAGTGACAAATGACCAGGAAAGCTATATGGTGGAAGGACTCCTGTCAAAAGGTAAGGAGATTGCTACAACCCAGGACGCACCAAGAGAGCGTAGGGTCACTTAGAAGGATAGCGAGGTGGGGGCACATGCAAGTATGGATGGGGATGAAGAAACTCCAAAAAAACTTTGAAGTGGCGGTGCTATCCGGGCAGCATCGCCAGTAGCAGGAGATTGCGAGGATAAGGACGAGGTACCTTTAGCGGAGTCCGGTCAAACCGTTGTTTCCTTGCTAGTGGCTGGAAAAACTAGGTTATGTTCCTCTTTTGATTCTTTATTTTCTCAGAATGTTATTGTGTTTTTTTAAATTCCATCTTATTAGCAGGTGCAACATTGCTGTGTATGGAGTATACCAAATTGCGGGTTAGCAAGATGATACGCTAGTAAGCGTAATTCCAGCTCAGAGTCTCACCCCAGTGTAGCCTTTGTTATGGCGAACTTGTATCAGGTTCTCAATTTTAATATTAATTAAGTTATCTTTTGCCAAAGAAAATAAATACTTACCCCAGTGTACGTACTATGTTAAATGTTTATAGTGATTATTATTGACAAATAACAAAGTAGTAGCCCATTTAAAAAATACAAAGTTTTATTTGCCAACTTATAGTAGCCCATTATTATTGAAAAAATACACCCTTCGTCACTTAAAACTTTGCCATCTTTTCTTTTTGGGACGTCCCAAAAAACTTTGCGACTTTCCCTTTTAATCGATTGTTTTGCTATCTTGTAAAAACCGGACCGGAAAGCGACCCGGTTGAATAATCGGGTCACGGGTCAACCTGGACCCGATGGGTCAACCTGGTCAACACCGTAAAACCCGGTCAATTGTTATATAAAGTTTTATGGTAATAGACATATATTAATATATTTATTCATATCTTTTGATTGAATGATCCAAATCTAGTTTTGCAAGTTGTGATGGATAAAAGACTTCATTAGTTACAACTTTGGTGAAAGAAGCATAGTCAAATTCGGACGGGAAAGGCGCACGCCGAAGTAAGCACGCCGTGCGCGGAAGAGAAAACTCACGTAGATGCTACTGGAGGCCAAGCATGACATGCCCGACATTTTTGCCGCCCCCAACTGTCCTTTTTCAGCCAGAATGGTTCCTTCTTCTATTTAAACAGCTTGTAAACCCTTGTTTTTGGTAACAGAGCTTAGAGAGAGGAATAAGACGAAATTTTGAGTACTTTTCCGCTTTGTTATTCAAGACCCCGTGATTATTTGTAAATTCCATCTTTTTAATTAATGACAATTAATTCTTGAATTAATTCCCTAAATAGGACTAAAACAATTAACAAATGCACAAATAGGACTTCCATGTTTCATAGGACTAAAAATGCATTGGTTTGACAAAATTACCCTTACTTATGTTCTAAACATATTTATTGATAAAAATTTAAAATTAAAAATCCTTTTTACAACTCTAGATGCATGTCCAGTTCCAAGAGTACTGCTGCCGCAAAACTGCCGCCGCCTCCCGCCGCCACCTGGCCCACCTCTCACCGTCGCCCTCCACCGTTGCTGCCACCAAACCAGTACCGCCGCAGCCGCAAATCTAACACCACCACTACCAATGCCGGTATCAGCGATATAATAACCAAATCTATCGTGGAGTTGGCAAAATGTTTAAAATGGGATAAAAGGAAACAGTTTTTTGCCATAAATTTGTCAAAATCCGCCAAAATTTTGGCAAAATATGCACACAATTTAATATAAAAACCGGAAAACCACATTTTAAAATGAAATTAATAGTTTAACGAAACAAAAAATCAAAATTTGAAGTCGGCTAACAAAAAACATTGATGGAATAAAAATGAAGATGGAAATGATAATTTTTCATTAGACTTGGCAGTTTATCCAAACAAGAAGAATTCTTTCTGCCATAGCATCAAATCTGAAATAAAAAATGGCAATATTTTAAAATCTTTCTTCCATAGTATAATGATCAAATCTGCTATAAAAGATGGCAATTTTTTAAAATCTTTTTTCCATAGTATAATAATCAAATATGCGATAAAAGATCCTAATATTTTTAAATCGAGGCCTGGGAAAACAAATGCCAAAACATAATTGTAAGTATTGCACAAAAATGCCAAAATTTTGGCAAAACACGAAGCCGCATTTTCAAAATGGAGAAACCAGAATTGTAATTGGAATTGGAAAATTGATTGAATCACAAAACAAAAAGAAATTATCCTAAATGGGACTAAAACATGGTTTAAACTCAAAAATAGGATTTGAAGTTTTAAATTGCCTAAATTGGACTCCAGATTACACTTTTGCCCTTCCTTTTATTAAACTTCTCGATCTGTTCTACGATTTCTTCCGCCCCAGGTCCCCCCAACTCTATCTTGCGATTTCTCCCATCGGCACCATCAAGTTCCTGAGATCGAAGCTTTCCATCGGCAAAATCAATAGTAGCTCTCTGAATCGAATCCGTTGAAGGCTCCTCCAACGATTGCAGGTATGCTCCTCTCCTCCTCCTCCTCCTTCTACTACTACTTGGTCTTCTTGTTCTTCTTCTTCTAATCCTCTTCAAATTTATGGTCCTCTATTTTCTTCTTCAATTCTTTAATTTTTTTGGATTTGAATTTTATATACTAATTTGGACTTTTGGATTTGAATTATTTTTATTCAGCAAAATGTCACTTTTATAATCTGCCAAAATTATTGGTTCTTTGAAAAAACTGCGACGTTTGTGGCATTATATTTATCAAGATGAGAATCTGAAAATGTCATATGTACATAAGAAAATGTCATTCTTATGGCATTTTGTGGCATTTTTATGATTTATTATGTGAGAATGACATAACTACTTGTTATTAGGAATGACATGTTTTTTGACATGTTTTTGAAATGATGTCAGAATTATCATCCTGAAATTGCCATTATTTTTCATCTAAAAATTCATATTTTTTAAAACTGAGAATGTCATGTTTTTATATGAAACTTCCATCA